GGGGGGGGGTACGCATGTTGTCATGGGGTCAAGGGTCGTGCTCAGGGGCAAGGAGGAAGCTTGTCGGTACATGCCCCTGAAGACCGCCAGACATTCGTGGCGCGTGCAATCGAAGTCGCCGCGACTGTTGGTATTTTTTTCGGGGAGGGGAGAGAAGGCGTTCTTGGTCTGTGACCACGGACGGAGTTGTCGTCAGCAGTTGGACCGATACGGATGTTTGAAGGTGGTACTGAGCAGACATCGGAGCGGTTTTTTACGTGAAAACAGTTCAACAATTTGGGGGGCATCGGTAGCACGAAGACCGCAAGTCACTGACATCAACAACGACAGCAGCAGCAGTCACCTGAAACTTGAAGCGTCTCGTGTGTCCTTGGGTCCGTCTGGCTTGTTTATCCAAGGAGGAGGCGTTTTTCCTGGCCCAGCTGTTCTTTGCGATGGCGGCGCCGCTCTTCTTCTCCCGCGTGCTGTTCCTGGCGCAGATCGACGAGAACCTCGGGCTCATGGTCCAGGTGGGTAGATGTTTGTCGATCCTGCAGGCGGTTCGTGTTCGTTCTGAGTTTTTACACAATACTGCTATCATCTGTATCAATTTGCGGCCGAAACCTTTTGGGCTTCGTCACAAGTTGAGCTTGCGTGGACAGAAGCTGGCGACCCCCCCCCCCCCCCNCGGTGTTTTTTTTTGTGGAAACCTCTCTCGGACATGCACTCGCGCATAGATCCCTCTCTGTACCTCGCGTCAGCATCCAAGGGTGGTCCGGTGCATAGCACCCCCTAACCTCCCGTCGAATGCTTTACCGCCTCGTCGTCAACCTCGAGTTTCAACAACCCCAATAGCGTTCGCCCACGTGCAAACTCTAGGCCCAAAATCGCGAAGCCCCCACCCACCCATCCCCTGCTCGTCCCTTCCCGGTGGCTTCTCGGTGCCGAACTCTGTCCAAATCTTCCGTGCCTCCAACCCTAAAATACCTACACGCTTTCTTTTTCGTGCCGGTTCGATTCACGGCCTTTTTCGTTTTGCGTGGCAGATCCTCTTCCGAATGCTGAAGGAAGTCGTGCGGTTCGGGGTGGTGATCGGAGTGATCCTGCTCGGGTTCGCGATGGCCATGTTCGCCCTGTTCGGCGGGAGCGCCCCTAGCCTCGATGACGACGACGGGTCGTCCTCCAACAGCCTGCCGGAGGAAGAGGAGGACACGGAGGGGGTGCTGTGGTTTGACCGCGGGGGAGCACGGTGAGATGGGGGGGGGGGGGGG